GTTCAACAATGCTTTGCACACAGTCCGACAGAGACTGTTGCATCCTTAAGAATGCCTCTTTGGCGTCACAAACATATTTACACGATGATATTCTACTACAATATTCTTATGATAGTTGTCCTTTATCTTCCTTGCATACTTTCTGCTATCTATTTGAATTAATACCTTTCATCATCGACATGAATTAACAGTAGGTAGGAGTTCCTAAGCCCAAACACATTGATTAATCGTCTCTTTTGCAACAATCAATTTCTATTGTATTATAGATTTTAATTTTGCGTGAATTGTCTTAACAGCTTTTTGTCAATTTTAGACCATTTTGAAGCTGAACAAATTGTTTTTTTTTTGTGAAACACGATCTGAAAAGAGTGTTGAAGTGTATAGAGTAGAAATTTTGCACCCATCCCCCCCCTCTTTTCCCGCTCCCCCCAGACCGTGACAGAGAAAATCCATACCCATCACAGACCGGGACAGAGAATCCAGGTACCCGTCACAGACCGTGACAGAGAATTCGGGTACCCATCACAGACCGTGACAGAGAATCCAGGTATCCGTCACAGACCATGACAGAGAACCCCGGGTACCCATCACAGACCGTGACAGAGAATTCAGGTACCCGTCACAGACCGTGACAGAGAATCCAGGTACCCATCACAGACCATGACAGAGAATTCAGGTACCCATCACAGACCATGACAGAGAATTCAGGTACCCGTCACAGACCGTGACAGAGAACCGGGATTGTAGTTGTAAAGCATCAAATATACGGTCAGCTACAAATGTGTCGTAAGGAAATGGAACAAAAGGATTTCCATTTAATTAGTAACAGTAGATCCATCGTGTTTCACATTTTTCATCCCGCAAGGGATTGCGCTAACAGCTTTTTCACAATGGTTCGACACGCACACAACCAAAGACCATCGATCGTTGTAACTTTCGATTGGGAGGAATTGACTTCAAGTCTTTCAATTCAAAAGAAAACAATAGAAATCTGTATGAATTTAAAAAGACCAAGAAACAATCATGCTCATTATCAACAAGAAGATTTTATATTCTAACGAAATCAATCGAGAAACGCTTAACATCGAATCATTAGAGGATTTATCGAATAATTAAAAACAATAATGATTATAACCCGAAAATTTTCTTCTATCCACGAATCATTAAAAAATCCAAACAAATCGTTTAAGCCTTTTCATAGCAATAAAAATATCGAATATATATACATTTATCTATTGGATGATATTAACGCAATAATCCTGCCAAATAAACACTTGCAATACTACTTACTTGCTGTTGTGCAACTACCGATACTATACAAACTATCATGAATGCACAAGGAGCATGAAAAATCAACCTGTGTATTTTCGGTATGAAGAGAAAAATATGACTACTAGAATACTCTCTTCTTGTCTGCTGATATACACAGGTAAGGAAAGGAAAGTACGAAAAAAAAAACATTTTTCGTATAAACATGTGTCCAATAATGAAGAGCAAGACATGTGAAAATATTGCTTGCATAACGAGAGCAGTGAGGCGAAACCTCGTCATCAATATGAAATGTTTGAGACATGACATTCTCAAATAAACAAAACGTGTTTTTAGAGCGTTGCAAAAATTCAATGAAATGAAATGCAAAGAAAAAATAGAAATTTTCTTGTGCAATCGACAAAAAGTATTTGACAACAAAATTGATCCTATTTGACATTCTCTTATACCATTGAATATTGAGGAGCGTTCAATCGAAAAAAAATAACCATTTTGGGATATCTCCTCTACACGTATGATCTTCGCCTTAAGTAAAGCATCCCTTATATTAATATATATACCTATTGAAAACTCAATAATATCCAATTTTGAAAGTTCAGTTCAATTCAATTTTCAAATTTGACATTTATTCTTTACTGATTTCCACTGTATTTATGGTACATAAGTCATCATTTATGACTACCTAACTTAACATTTATTCTTATCATTCTTTACATAGTTTTCGTTATGATATATAAAAGTTCATGACAATTTGTGACCTGCAACACTACATTCTGAGTAGAAGGACCATAAATGTAGATGGAATATCAACAATAGTGAGCAATTTTGATGATTGAGAAAGACGAGCGTTCTTTAATAAGCATAGCTAAACAATCGAATCAGAGTAAATATACATTTATTGCGCGACAATAATTGTAAAACATCGTCGAAAGAGAAATACTCTCGTTCGAGGAACAAAGAAAGAAGTTAATTGAGATGAAAGTTCATTGTTGAAGTTCATCTTTCCACTTCTAAATGGATTATAGATTATTTTAAAACTGAAGATATCGAAGTGATTTTTAAAAAAACTCATTGAAATATAATTTAAATTCATAGTTTTCACTTCCGGACGAAGCCTTGATTCGTATGAAAAAAAGAAACAAAGATAATTCTTAAAATGACAACTTAAAGTTCCCATAATGCTTCAAAAACTCGATGCTTTGACAACTCCTACGTCGATTAAAACGAACAACTTAATGATGTCGTTGACGACAGTAAACGTGAGGCATACAGTTTAATTACTGTCTTTTATGATGAGAATACTGGTCGTTAGGATGTGAGTATAGATGAAGAGAAGACCCACAGCTAATACTGGCATAACTATTTAAAACGACATAGTTATTTAAAATGTAGCACTTGTACAAGATTATCGTAGATATTTAAAATCTAGAGCTTTTAAAAGATAAGAGTAGCATTCAAGAGTTGCTGATCACGGTTTAAACAAAATACATGACAGCTAACTGATTTGAATAACTGCAGGATCTTTTATCTCTGAACTCTATACGTTTTTTTCGTTTACATCGATAGTCAAAATCAAGTTTCCTGTAATAAACGGTTTGAGAAAAAGATTTAAAGAAAATGAACATTGCCAATTACTGAATTTTTTCTGCAGCAAAATGATTATGCTTTTTGTTTTCAAAAAGTGTGACATGATCGATTGAATGAATAACAGCAACTTCTAATATAGACACAGCATCTACCTATTATTTCGTGAAGCATAAAATCAATTTTAATTTTTTCAATAGATGAATTCAAACCCATCATACAAACATTAGAAGTGTTTGCTGACACGCAAAATACATATAAAATATATTAAAGCTTTCTTATACATAGAAGACAAGCATTATCAATCATCACTGAAGATGAGTTTTTAGCTGCTGTTAATGCTCCAAAATGAGGTTTATTCAATGTAGTAGAAACAATTTGTGTTTTATAGCGGGCACAACAGCATCCATTTGACTCATGATAAATATTTCCATCATGATACTTTCGTTTTTATTACTCCATCCCTCTCCCTCTGCTCAAAACGATAAGTAACATTCAATAAATCGATCATCTTCAGTTAAATACAAATGAAAATTTAGTACTGCTGCATATCACCAAATACTGCTTGAGGGTCGATGTGGGTGAAAAGAAGACATAATCTATACCTTTCACACACAGATAGTTTCGTTTCCATGTGACAAATTTGTATTTTGATGGATAGTTGTTATTGACATCTGTGGTTTTTCAGTTGCTCGTGGGTCACGAATTCCAAGATTGAGTGTTATATCCCTCTGCGCCATGACACCAACTGAATTATGTCGACTGATACCGAATTTCATATTTTTTCTTGTTATATTTTGATTAGATGACATTATTACAAATAGAAGACTTATCGAGAATGGAATTTCGCTATCTTTCATTCATAATCATAGCTAGTACGACATATATTGATGATAGATAAGGTTTGAAGATTAATGTTTTAAATGATATAGGTGTAATTCAAGCTCCGAGAACACGTAACAGTATCAGGCACTTTCCTTGTCATGTTACAAGATGTTTCTCGAGCATAGACATCGATGCTTTATTATTAGATTTGCGAGTAATCAAAATATACAGTCATGGGTGTTTTCAAACGGATAAAACCTTCATAAGTAAACAGAATAGAAAATAAAGAAATTTTTTTCATCAAATATTAACATTCGTTTTATATAAAATTCAGTCATCGACATTCATCAATATGATTCAAATAAAAAGATTTGTACTGTTTCAATTTTCTAAAAAGAAATTTTCTTAAACTGTTTTCAATGTTGTTAACTGAAATATTTATTAGGAAAATTTTATATTTCTATTGATATGCATATGTGAAAAATCAGTTTAAAACGAATAAAATTGATTAGAATTTCTTCATCTTAAAACTATTCTCACATTATATTAAGATATTATTTTCAGTGAAAATTCTTTTTTTCAATAAAAAATAAAAAGAGTCCATTATGATCAAGTTTTTATTGTCTTATGGCTAAAGTATATATGTTATTAGTTATTATTTAGAGTTTAATAGTCAAAAAAAAATAGAAATATATTTGAAAAGAAGAATTCGAATTTGATTTACTGGAATAAACTCGACAAAGAAGATCATTTTATGACTTTTGAATAAGCTAAACTTTTTGCTGACGAATTACATGCAGTTTTTCGTAGTCTTTGACATATTTGATGGTGTAGGTTAGCTATATATGTCGTACAGGTTTAGCTCGGATGATTACTGCTATGGGTTGTGACGAGAAGAAAGATGTACTTGGTCTAGCTGTCTATCGTTTTACGAAGAATAGCAAATATGGTCAATATTTCTATTGTGATGGGCGGATGAACAAAAGCGAAGTGGAGATGTTGGTCGATGTTAAATAAATTCGATGAAAACTCAAGGAGAACCATTAGAAATTGATCGATTAACATAGAATAGTGGATGTGAACGAGATCGAGCACATAAATTCTATTATTAAGAAGGTTTTATTATTAATTACTTTGGATTTTCGATTCAGTTTTAAAAAAATGATTTCAATTCTTTTATTAAGATAAGAAATTCACTAGTTCAATCCGTATTTCAGGAGAATAGTCATTGTTATGATTAAAAAAAAGTGACATAAACAAACCATTGAAGCAAACAAGTTATGTGTCAATGTTAATAGAGACTTTACTTGAGCATAAGCTAGCTATTTATTTTTCAATTTTTCTACTTTCATTTGCAATTGTTGAACTCGTTCTTTGAATAACGGTATCTTTTTCCAAATGATGATGGCCTTCTCGAGTGATTGACAAGCATCGTCTATACATTTGTCTTTCTCTTCATATTCCGACATCTTTTCGTAGCTTTGTGCCAAGGAGATTATATTATCATAAAGATCATTATTCATTTCTTGTGCTGCACAGTAAATTTGTTCAAATGTTGAATCTGTAGAATATAGACGAGTGACAATAGCATCTGGTAATGATTCATTGTAGAGCGTTTGCACTTCAGTCCAATACCAACAAGCAAGAGCATTCTGATCAAATTTAATCAACATTTGACCAATGCCATCAGTTTTTTTTAAAGTGATATTTGCCCATACTTCTTTCTGTAAATTGAATAATTCTTTCTTGAATTGACTAGTGCCTTCATTATCTTCCATCTCAGTCATATAAGAAATAATTAATCGACAGAGAATAATTCGATCGAAAATGGGAATAGACGATGAACGAATATCAACAGCCATAATGTTTGGGCGATACTCTTCATCTGCTACTATATATGATTCTAATAATTTTAGTATAGCATAATTAATGGTACATTTCAACATCTCTTGCTTGTGAATATTATCTTGAAGAAGCCGATAAATATGTAATGCCTTAGTCCAATCTTGATTGAAAAGGTGATATTGTCCTATTTTCATAAACATAGTGATTGATTCAGTTGGTGAGATTAAATCTGCGAGCTGATTCCACTGAAGATCATCTGGTAGTTCGTTTTTGAATATCAAGTCGAAGAGTGTGACGAGATTATTTGGAATCTCGTACAGCTTTTGGCAGATGTCAAACGTGGCCAACATTGATTTGCACACTTGATCGAATGAATCAGCCATTCGTACCGCTATGGTGAAGGTTTTCATGTAAGCTTGTAACAAATTGATCCAAATATTTTTATCAGGAATTTCTGTCGAATTTGACTGTGAATGGATGGTCTCTGTCAGGAAAGAGTAAAATACTTTGATCATCGGTATTTGTTCGGATTGAAATTCGGTTTGAGACCATGTAGGTGTTAAAGTTTCTTCCAATTTTGAAATGTATCGTTTGAAATATTTCAATGCCATTCTATCATCATTTAAATCTAGATAAGCTTGAGCGATTTCTTCGGATTTTTCCTTGTCATTGAGCGATTTCGTCGACAAACGACGTTGGGATTTCGCAGATTGAACATGCGGTTCAGTTTCATCTTGCTCTTCATCCTCGTTTTCTTCTGTTTCATCATCATCATCAGCATCACTATTTTCTTCCAAACTGGATAAATTCACTTTATTCTTTTCAATTAATTTTTCAATTATTGTCCTAATCGTCGTTTGATCATTTTTCACTTTCCCCAACGCACTTTTCCAGTACCGATCTGCTTCAGTGAAATTCTCTTCCTCAAAATAGAGATTTCCAAGACAAAATTCAATCGATCGTTGACGATCTGAATTTGTTGTTTCTTCCAGTGCTTTAATTAGATTGTCTCGTGTTGTTTCCTTCGTACTTGAATAGAGTTTATCATAGGCATTGCCTAATTCTTCATACCAATATGTTAGATTTTGTTCGCCATCGCTTTCGAATAGTGTCAATTTCAATTGAAGTTCAATCACTTGTTCATATAAATCAGTTGCATCTTCATCATCATCCGTACTTTCTTCCGCTTGTAATTGTGCTCGAGCAAGACAAAGACGAATAAATACGACATTTCGTAGAGCTTGTGCAAATGTATTGCCATTGGTTAAACCAAGACGACTTTTTATCACTGTGTGTAATTGTTCCCATGTTATGTTCGTTGCTTCTTCGTCTTCGATCAATTCAACAATAAATGTTGGAAGAATTTCTTTTAATGTATCGATGATTGTTTGTTGATGAATACTTGCTGTGGTAAAATCTTTCTGTCGAGCTAAGACTTCGGACAAATGAGAATACATTCGAAGTAGTGCTTTCACATCTTGTTCTGTTTCTTTCTCATCATCGTTATCATTTTCATTCGGTGCTTGAGCTCGATCATAATATTCCGTTGCCAATTCAAGTTTATCCATTCGACAGTAACAATCTCCCATGAGAAAATAATTTGCACGAATATTAGGATGATTACTTGGCATATTATCCATTTGAATTTCAATCGCTTTTTCATAGTATTGTACGGCATTTTTGTAATCACCTTGTTGAAAATTGCATGAAGCCACTAATTGATAATTACGTGTGAGACTCGGATGATACGATGAATAAAGACGTTGTTTTAATTCAAACGATGTTTGAGAACATTCAAGAGCTGATTTATAATTGTCTTTAGCTAAAGAAACTAAATAGCTTTCTGCTAGGTAATCATTGATAATCATGCGCAGACGTATCGCTTCATTATCCGCTACACTTTTTTTTAAGGAATTATCAATTCGTAGTAATTCTGCTATAGGTTCTTCATTGGATGTGAACTTTTTCGCTGTTAATATACGCAAAAGTAATGCGATTAATAGCTTTGTATCGGGTTTTTCCAGCTCTAGAATTCGTTTGTAAACAACCATACTTCCTTTCAAATTGCGTTGTGAAACACAGGCATTCGCAAGAAGAAACGAATTTTGTCCTCGAAGAATCTCGATGACTTTGTCATAGCCATGCATTTTAGCGTAAAGAATAGCGAGATCTTCTTTTGATGCATCGGTGTTGGATAAATAATATTCCAGTGCCACACGATAGGCACTTTCGACTAATCGAACAGATTGTTGAATTTTCGATACACGAGCTGATGACAAAAGCTCATCAAAAAAGGCTTTTTGTTCGTGTTCAAGACCTTTCTTCCAATTTTCCATTGCCTTATTGAATTCCTTCTGATGAGCAAAACATGCACCAATATTCGCATAGAGATTGGCGAGATCCAATTGACTGGTAGTATATTTGTTCTCGTAATCTCTTAATAATGAGAGAAAATGTTCATCTTGATAGTTGATTACTGCTTGATAGTTTTTATTTCGAGTGTATTCACAAACAATATCGATATGAGCTTCAGTCACTTTGGGATGAGATTGTGGGAGGATACATTCGTAGATATCTAGAGCTTCATTGAATTTTTCAGCTGCTTCCGTTCGATCTTTGGGGTTTTTGACGCTTTTCAAATGCCCAAAAGCAATACATAGATCGGCTTTTAATAAGCGTTTTTCTAGAGCATCATGTGAGATTTTCGAGCTTTGATTGTATAAATCGTAGGATGATTTGAAATGTTTTTCCGCTTCATCCCAATCATGTTGAGCATACGCAACTTGGCCTAGATTACAATGGAGCGAAGCCAGATGTTGCTGAGAATGTTTTGGTTCACGTTTTTGAATACGAATTCCTTCTTCAAGATTTTGTTTTGCTTCTTCTAATTGATTCAATCCTAAATGAGTTTGTCCAATATTATTGAAGATCTCCGCTAGAGCATTATTATTCGAAAACTGTAAACGTGCTTGAGTATTCAATGCTTTTCGATAATATTCTAACGCTCCACCATACAATGCTTGACGAGAATGAATTGTACCAAGACAATTGTATACTGCGACGAGATTAGAATCATTTTCCAACTGTTTACTTTCGATGAGTTGACTCAAATAACGTTTGCATACTCGATCTTCACCTAGTTCGATCAGATAACGAACGAGTAAAATGCTCAGAGTTGCTTGTGATGCTAGTTTAACTTTGGCTTTCATTTCATCGAGTAGAGTCAGATTGAAATCTCGTGCTGTTAATTTGATACGTTTAATTTCTGGATTATTTGGATCATCACCAAGACTATCGATTTGAAAGGTCGAGCCCATATTGAAGAGAACTTCTTCTTCTCGAGGATGGAATGAAATCGATTGAATATCGGCATAAGCTGAACAAGATATAGCTGGATCGATGGTAATTTCATACATAATGACGATATCATTACCTCGTTTCTTTTTTAGTTTATTCGCTGCATATTCCAAACTGATTTTTTCGTTTCGAGATGTTGAAATGAATCCATTAATAGTAATTCGAGCATCCTTTTGTGTTGTTGATTGTTTAATGATTTCAAAATCTGTAGTACTTAATTTATCTGCTCGATAGACGATCTGTTTTTGCGAAATTCGATTTTGCATATAAGATCGTTCAATCATTTGGCATAGATCACTGATATAGTAGCGATGACACATCAGAAGTTCAAAGTTTTCCAACCGTAAAATATTATTCATTTGATCAAAGATTGGAGCTTCGTTACATGAATACCACCAAATAGCATTATCAAAATTAGGTGCTTCGCCACTCGAAATTTCCGTTTGTGTTAATGTCTGAATCTAAACATACGATAGTTTAACTTCATATATCTGCGTACTAGGGCTGTACCGCTCACGCTCATGAGCGCTCATATGAGCGTGAGCGACCACTCCTCACCTGAGCATGAGCGTAGGGCTGCACCACTCACGCTCATGAGCGCTGATATGAGCGTGAGCGCTTTTTCGCTCACGCACATGCTCACGAGAGGGATGGTCGCTGACGCTCATATGAGTAGTGCTGTACAGCTCACGTTCATGTGCGCTCATATGAACGTGAGCGACCACCCCTCACGTGAGCATGAGCGTGAGCGGTACAGCCCTACTGCGTACTGCATTTGTGAAAATTCCCTCTAGTGATCAGACGTGATACGTCGGTTTTGAAAAAGTTCGGTTGAAAAACTTGCCAGACGGATCTGCTATATACGATTTCATCGGTCTTTATCTTCTCGATCATGCACTTGAGTCAGAAGAAAGATTAAATCAAGCAATACTCACTTTAGCTGTTTTCTCGCCAGCATCAGTTTCCTTTCGAAAATAGGACATTCGAAATGTTTCACCATATAGTCGCTTATTTTTCCATCGATCTAATTTATCTTGCTCTGGTTTACTCTAGAAAATAAAGACAATGATTCTCTCAACCAGCGCTGAATAATTTTACTTAACATACTAAATTAATGCCTCCAATTTTTGGACGGTCACTTTCCAAGTATTGTTCACATGTTTGAATCATATCATTTCGAGCAAGTTCCATATCGAAACGTGTAAATGCATCATTTTGTTTTCCCATAACGAGAAAAATTTCTTTGATTCGACGAAACCATAAATACGAACATAGAGCTTGAGATAAATCTTTCACTGAGGATTTTTTAGCCTGAAATACTTTGGTTGGTAAGACAAGATCGGTTTCGTCACGAATAGAATCATTTATTGTTGATGACATATTCTTCGAAGGTACGGCAGCACCAGACTTCGTATTTTGATGATTATTTATAGCTGGTAGAGGTGTTTTTGCTCGTTGAGATATTGATGGATTAAATGAATTTGATACACCGGTCGGAATTGTTCTTCGTGGTTCGAAATTTTCCTGCAGATTGAATCCTTCGCGCGACATAGTCTTACTTTCCTTCAGTTCTTCCTCATCATATTTAAGAGAATCAAATTCCTTAGTTGACACTTATCGGTAATGGAGTAAAGGGCAAGTGACGAATGAAAAAAAAAAATTAACATATACTTTTTTTTCTTCCACATGCTTGTCGGTAAGGAAGAGAACACAATGAAGAATTTCTCCACTGGAAGAAGTTCTTTGATGGATGTCTTCACTTCGATAAGTAAGAAAAAAAATGGCTTGAATAAATCAAAAAAATGAAGGTGTATGACAACGCCGTTTGTAAAAAAAAATGAAGGTGTATGACAACATCGTTTGTAAAAAAAAATGAAGGCATACAAAAGCCGTCCTCGGTGACGTAGAAAAGACAAGAGAAGTTGTTTTGAATGAAGAGAAGAAACGGCAAATGTAGACTTCTCTTTTTTTAGTCTGCTCAGTAAGATGCTTGTGGGTGCAGATTTGGCATTCTTTCACACCCATAGCCTACATAATGAAAACAAAAGATAAAGTATTATTCTGTGTTTAACGATTAAAGTGGCTATTTGGAATATTACTAGTCCATTCCATAAAGTGTTGAGACTGCAATCTTGTAATTGGGAAAAATATTAAGAATGGTCACAAAAATATTCTCAAATGAAGATAGTGTAATGTATTCTGAAAAATGCTTCCCTAAATTTATATCGTATGGGAAAACCAGTCGATGTGATTGATCACTTTTTGACCGACATTGTCCATTCGATGGGTTTAACCCTTTCCGGCCGGATGTTGCCATTTGGCAACATGGCGTCAATATTTCTGCTCGATTGACTTAAGTTAATGATTTATAATTTTTTTAACACATTGATAACTACACTAATACATTTCTGTGTAAGTTCATGATTCATACGAAAAATAAAATCTCTCAGTGAGCAGATGGAGCACTCAACTCACGACGCCTCAAAAGGGCATACGGATCGAAATAATTTTTTTTGCATGTGCCTCAACATTCAATTGACGAAGCAATTAGCGGTGAATTTTTCTCCAGAGGTATGCAGTCTACTGTATCACTAAGTCGAGTCATAGAATAAATTCGAACAATAAAAAACCGGGATGTTGCCGTTTGGCAACATCTGGTCGTAAGGGTACAAAAATTTTGAAAAAAACAATTTTTTTTCTTCTATGAAAGTTCGATAGTTTCTGGTTTATTTTGAATCTATATCTTCATACTAAAGCACAGTCTGCCTTTCTGTCAGCCTTTTTCAGACCGAAGCTAAAATATACCTAGAATATTCTAAAACTTTACAAAATTAGCCAGTCTTTCCAAAGAAGTTCTGAATTTCAGAAAGATTGTAGGAAGCTTTACAATATTCTAGAGTATTCTGACATAGACTATAACAGAATGCTGCGAAACTTTCTTCAATTTCTTTGAAATTCAGAACTTCTTTGGAAAAACTGGCTAATTTTATAAAGTTTTAGAATATTCTAGGTATATTTCAGCTTCGGTCTGAAAAAGACGGACAGAAAGGCAGACTGTGCTTTAGTATGAAGATATAGATTCAAAATAAACCACAAACTATTAGACTTTGATAGATGAAAAAAAATTGTTTTTTTCAAAATTTTTGTACCCTTACGGCCGGATGTTGCCAAATGGCAACATTGAGCCGTTCCGTAACGAAGAACTTTTTCGTTTCAACGACTAGACCTTTGGTATCTTCACTATGAGAGAACTACAAATTCACTGGAAAAGATTTTCTAGCTACCGGTCTTCTGGTAGCCGGCCGGAAAGGGTTAAACGAGCAATGATAAACTGTAAAGTGGGTTAGTTACTCAGGCCTCGCTCTTGAGATCTCGAATTGTGACTGAATTTTTTTCATGAACAGCCGTCATTTTTTCTAGATCAGCTCAAAAATCGTAAAAATGAATGCCAACTGTAGCCTTTCCGCAAATGACACTTTTAACGACAATAAGTTATTATTGAAAGTTTCATTGGTTTTGACATGTCCCTTCATGAGAAATAGCCTTCAGCATTCTATTAGGTAACTTCAAAATATTAATTTTCCTGCTATTCATTCCTCAAGATAGAACGTGTTCAAATAAACAAAACTTTCACAATTAACTATTGCCGTTAGAAGCATTGTTTTCTGGAAAATCTCTAGTCGACATTTGTTTTTCAATAACTGCAGTGATTTGAGAGAAAATCCAGGGATTTTCATTGAAAAATTCAGTCACACTTCAATGTCTCAAGGATGAAAGTCTAGATAACCAACTTGTTCTACTGTTTATCATTGCGCACTTGAACCCATCAAATGGATAGTGCCAGTCAGAACAGCGATCAATCACTTATGGTGGTTTCCTCGTTGTGTATAGCATACATGGAATAGCTGTGGATTTTTGATGACTGATACCGGTACTGATTTCATTAGTCCAGATTGAACCGAAATGCTCGTGTGCACTAGTTTACCGGCGACTGGCAGTTAATCAATCTATCAATAATTGATCGGTAGACTACTGAGTAATTGTATTGTAGAAAAAAAGTACGATCTAAGAGAAATTTGCATCCGCTTCTAGATTGTCTGTCATTTTTAATTCATTTAATCAATTAAAAGATGCGCACTTTATAGATGTACGCTGGTTTTATTACTCCAACTTTTGTATGAACTAACAGGTTAAAATTCAATGAGCATTTCTAAGAGAATAGGAAAAGTATTAGGTCCGGAGAGACATCCCCTAATATAAGAATGCCATCTCTGTTCTGTTATAATATGGATTATAAGCATTCTTTTCTTTTTTTTTAATGATATTCTTCATGATGGATAAGTCAAGGTACAGAATGGAGAAAGAGAAACAAATTTTTCTGTGGGTTTTTTGTTTGGTTTATCTTCATTCGAATTACTTTTTTGTGAAAGAAGAATCAAGAATAACAAAGGGAAAGAGACTACCAAAAAGTAATAGGGTATACGAGTAGTTGACCAGACAGTCACTAGTGTGGATGTGAGGTTTGAGTGTCGGTAAGGGTGTGAGTGCAGTTTCTTTTTATTGACACCGATACCCAAATTGATATCAGTACAGACGAGTTTTCACAACTTTTTCTAACCATATTTGACGTTGCAAACTATATGATAATTAGAAATCGTACAAAAAGAATGGATTAAGAATAATCTAAGAATATTGAATATGTATTCAATCGAACAATTCGAACTAGGATTTGTGCAAACCTATTGTCGGCGTCAGAATTAAGTATGGGTGATTGTAAGACGAATATCTCGAGAATAGCTATTGGTATTGATCTGCGATTTTCATCAATCGAACGAGAAGAGACGTCGGAACATCTTTCCTCCGACTCTTTGATGATTTTCGCAAAACATTCCTGAACAATCGATTGTCGTTAGAATGAAATTTTGATAAGAATTAACAAACTTTGCTGAAAACTCAGCACAACTTCATTTCCTTAACATTAAGATGAAAAAAAAATAATCGTTCGAATGATGTCTTGAACTGTAGATCTCAAGTCCCTTTATTTGCAACACCAGTCTGAATCAAAATTTGATCGAAACGACAGTTGATGTCTAGACATTTTTTAAAGAATATTTTGTGAAAATAATTGGTTTTAAAATGATTTTGTCTTATATATAATCGGAAAAACAAGATTTTTTGATGTCTTCTCGTTCGATTGGTGAAAACCGTAGGTTGCTAGCTATCACTGTTCTTGAGATATTCGTCTTTCATTCACTCTCAATTAATTCTGACGTAAACAATAGTTCTCATGATCATTTTTGATCGAAATTTAGCATTATTTTGTTAAGCTAAGAATCACGGATTCATATATTAAATGGTTATTGAACTCAATCAATAAGAAAATATCCTATTATATTGAAGATAAAAAAATTAAATTAAATTGAATTGAAATTTAACTGCTCTGTTTTGAATATTTAACTCAGAAATATTTCAATTAACTTGCTCGCATTGAACAACTAACTGAACTAATTTTAGAATCATTTGTCTATTAGTTCTTATTAGCAACCAATATATATATCGAATATATCATGTTCATTAATTGTATAATTCAATACATATTGCAATCATATATTTGTATTTTCAAGTTGAGTTAATTGAAATAAAATAAACAATAGAAATAATTTTCCTGTACAAAATATTTAAAAATGGTATAGGATTTTGTTGAAAATCTACACATTCTAATCGAATTCTTCCAAAAAAAAACGAGGAAAATTAAGAAGAAATAAAATTTCAATTTATCAATTAATTAATATAAAATTTTATAAAATAAAATCTCTATCGTTGTAATCCAGGAATTTTTTTATCGAATAAAATTATATAAGAAAATGAATTACATTACAGCTGTTCGTTATTTATGATTGGTTAATGTCGCTCTTTCGATGTTATTTGAAAGGAGGCTAGCAAATGTGAATAATGGTATTGGATAAGACATGTAGATGCGAAATATATTTTTCGTAGTTGAATTATTATTTACGTATATGCCATAACGATCAATTTTAAATGAAAAATGTCGTCTAAGGATAGCAAACAAGAAACAATTGATAATAATAGAGGACCTAATGCAGATCAACAAACTCCTCCAGAAGATGATAAACCTTCACAACCAATTTCTTCAGAAAAGAGACATTCAACAGGTGGACATGAATTAACTGGTGTAGAAAAACTGGCTGCACCAGATGGTTCAGGTGGTCAACCAACACTACTTAAATGTGGTTATGAAGGCTATGCTAAGAATTAAAAACATTGAAAACCATCGAACATTTGAATAATATATTCTAATCCCGCTATATACACTTCCTTGATCTAAGATGTTTATTTTCATTTTTGATGTGAATGATGATATTTTTTTTTAGTGTTTATTTCATTTGAAAAAAAGACAAATATAAATAAAAACCAAAAAAATAGAGTGAAAAATTTATATTCTCGAGGAAATTGTTTTTCTTTTTTGTACATTCTGATGATTCAATTATCAATAAGCGAATGTTTTCGTAAAGAAATTTACGATTACTTTACTAATTATTACATGAAAAGAAATACTGAATATATTTTTCTTTCTTCTACTTAGATTTATCTATTCTCTGTCTCTCTAAACATTGTTGATTTCTTTTTCTTTTAGTTTGTTCTATTAATAGAAGGCATCCCAATCGTGTAAAACAAAAAACGTCAGTGTTAGTTTGTTTTTAATCTAACGAGTCATATTTTATAGTCTTTAACCATTACCATCTTTCGTTTAGTTTTATCATTGTTACTATTATTAAAAGTCCAATAACATCTGAATTTTAATCAATAATATATATATCAAGTATAAATGAAGATGTTTGTATACTTGATAGTGGTATAATAAAAAATACTGGAGAATTATGAAAAATCAATTATTATCAGTCATGACTTTGTCTACGTGATGGTACTGATCAAATTAAATGTTTTTCTCAAATATATAATCAGCAATTACTATGTTCAAATTCTATTCTTAAAAAAGATCAATGTTGTCGTTTTCGTCTTCCACTAACAGCTGCTATATTTTTAACTTTGTACAATATCGTTCGGAAGAACATTGGAGTGTTAGTTAGTAGTTTTTTATTGAAAAGGTTTTTTTTATTTCGAAACATTTTAAGTACGTAAATATCATCATTGTAAATGTTCACTTGAAACAATTGTATGTCATCTACATAAATGTCCCATCTTAACTTGTATACATATGATGATATTATCCGGTCATTGTTGTCCTATTTATAGAGATCAATTATCTTTTATTAATGATCCAGGTAAACGTATGTTTGAAAAATAAAAAAACATATTCGATTTAGAAAATTTTCATAATTTAGTGCCAATATTTCCATCTCGTTTTAGTTTGTCAATAATCATAATATTTTCTATTCTTATTCTTATTCTAGTACTTGTTATTATTATTCTTATATTCATTTTATTGAGTATAGGGCGTTGATCGATTCCATCATCGAATCAAATATCTAATTTAAATCAACATTCGTCTAAACATCCTCATCGTCCAATAATAATTAATTTAAAATCATCAAGTATATTTTCATACTCATGTGATTTAATATTAATATCAAATGATATGAAAAATATCAAACAAATATTGTCATCATCAAGTAATAATCCATTAACATCAATTGAACAAACATCAACACATTGAATTATTGGAATAAATACATCTAGAACGGATAATGAGGAATCTCGTCAACAATAATGATCTCATCCACAAATTTCAAATGATTAATGAGCCATTTTACTATCATCTATGTTTAATATTTCAATTTCAAGATAATGATCATAGATATATATTTTATATATAGACTCTCAGATAGACGTGGAAATATTTTTGTACCATTGTATATTGATGAATGATGAGTTGAAGTGTATGTAAGCGAGAGACTTCAGCTTTTTCAACACATATATATATATAGATGCACATTAAAATGAAATAAAATAAATATGAGATTAAATTGTCATTTATATTTTATTTATTAAAAGTTTTTTTATTAATCTTAATGGTTGTACTAGATAAAGAGTTGATTTGAACTATTTTGAGTAGTAATCAACTTATTGAAATGTTTTAGAAATTCTTTAATTTTATTAATAGTCTATGGACGCCTTGATAAAGGACATTCAGTTAAAAATTGTTCATTCTAAGTGAGTGTGGGTATGGTTTGTGATCGTTCTTCACGAATCCAGACTCACATCCTCTCAAGTTATTGTTTCTAATGAACGATTAAATTTTACATTTAGATCTAAATATAGTATGAGAATATAAAATAGAAATTTGTAGAATTATTCGATCATTGTAAAAAGCAAGAAAAATGAATGAATTGATTGCTTTCTCTTTTGCTTCTATTCTCACCCTTGTTTAGCATTAATATTATCAAGAAGAAGGTAATTAATAATTTTACACTTATTTTCTATTCGAAAATTTTTGAGTAAATCTCAATAAAAAGAGTTTCTGCATTTTGCTCTCACAATCGCTCATAATGCATGACAATAGAATCATCGTTGTTCTGTCGATTCAAAACCAGAAATGAACGCAAACACACATCAATCCGATGGAGCAACGCTTGTTTGTATTTCAACAACATGAGTTTATTTAGATAAGGACCTAGAAAACCTTTTCTTTTCGTTAATATTATTGATAAAAGTAACTGAGTAACCCTCCTTGATAAAGATTGACGAATTGCAACACTAGCCGAATAAGATTGTAGCGAGAACTTCAGTGGTTTAATTGTTAAGATATGCTAAAACGTATTCAAAATCAAATATATCCAATGGTGAATGATTCAACTTTACTTATGCCAATGGAAGAAGCAGCATATGTACTTTTCGGAAAGTGCACTACAAAATTTTTTTGCATAACTGAACATTCAATCATGTTATGTATTTTGTTGAAAGTATTTCTGACATGATATTACAATATTTGATAAGGATTAGTTTATCGTTATCACTCATATCTTGAAATCGTACTTTTTAGAATGAGCGAATTAAGTCATATCCCTGACAGAACGGTATATTTTCCCTTATTGATACTTTTTGCTTTCTTAATTTTTTTTCTTAGTTGTTAAATCTTTTAATCTTAACTCAACACTAAAAGGTAGGAGAATAATGAAACAGTTAAATAAATAATTGTTTTAGTTTCTTTTTGCTCTTCTATTATTTTTCGCTCATTTTTTTATCTCACATGCGAAATGTTGCCTTGTATTGAGCATAATAGATATCTTGCGACAATTAAATGAATTCATCTTTTTTTGTCTCCGACTACCGGCTATTTATCTTTTGTGTGCAATACTTCAACGTACAAAAGACTTTTTTTGGTTTTTTTTAATCATGCTATTGCACTTGACAAAAAAATAATCGCCAAATTAGAATAAAAACTAAAGAGCTATTATGCAATCAATTATTCATTCTTTTGTCGTTTTGCTCGACTTGCATGCATTTCTTATAGTATTAATAATACTCATTCTTTTCTGAAGAACACTGTAGACATTGAAACTTCTTTCGTAACACCATATTTTTCTTCACTTTGCTCTCATATTTTGTCAGTACCATTTTTTTCCTGCAAAAGTCTCTTAGAGAAAATTGAGCATCACTCTTCTTCATAAATAAATAAAGTATTTGCTTGAATAGAGAGTTCAACATTGTCCAGTTGTATATAAATATATTCCATGTAAGAAATTGTGTTTTAGCGAATCATTTTTATTTGACTGCTATAAAAAAAATTAGTTCTATACTGAAGTGTAATTCAATAGATAGATTTACACTCCAAGATTCTTTTAAAAACTAAGCCTTCTTTCTGATCAAAAATAGTCAATCTTCGTCAGAATTATGTGAATTAAGATATTATGCCCGGAGAAACAAATCGAGGTTGCATCTGTCATTATTCACATGATTTTTTTCTTCATCAAATCCTTTTTGACAAACTCTTTCATGATTTCTTCATTATCTACTCGAAAAATATGCTGTTATCAGAAAAATGAAGACACTTTTACCGTGCTTTTCTCTTCTGACTTTTTATCGTACATTACAGAAATTCTCGAAGGAATAACGTATCAAGATGTAGGCTATTAAAGTCCCTCTTTTCAATGAAGCAACTTGATTAATTATAGAAAAGAGCACTTTTCTAGACATTGAAGTTGTCATCTCTTTTGTCTGCTTAAAAACTAAGAATTTTAAACGACGAACTATGGTAAGTCGAACATCCTCGGATATTCTGTGGAAAAGAAAAGAAAAATAAAGCATATATAATGAGGATCGATACAAAATTTCATGCTGTTGAATGACCTATTTCTGTCGCTTATTTGATGAATATTTCTCTCAAACATCATAGTATAGAACTAACAATTTTTCCATAGTCGTTACACTACACAGTTTCAATATTTTCTAAATATTCTGTACAATTTGAATATATGTGGCATGATATTAGTTGTTGAAAAGGAAGGAACACTTAAATGATGAGATCTTAGTAGTGATATATAAATTACATAGTTATATTAGTTTTTCTAAAGATTTTAGATTGACATTCGATAAAACGTGAGTTTATTGCAACATTAAGGCATGACCTCGTTGGTCCTTATTAATCGCCTTATTGTGATCTCTATGGGCCTGTTTTATTTGATTGTGGGGCTTGTTAGTAGTATCATGCAAGTATTTATATTCACGACTACACCTGATTACCGGAAGACTCCATGTACATTCTATTTTATTATTGCTAGTATACACGAATGTGGTCAATTTATCACTGCTCTCGGTCCACTAGTTGTTGCTGCATGTCTGGACATTGACATGACGCGTATTTCTGTTGTTTGGTGCAAACTTCGGTTTTTTTTTGTTTCAAGTTTCAGTGCTGTTCCTTTCACTTGTGCATGTCTAGCTACCATTGATCAATTTCTAATCACGTCCCAACATGTTCGACTTCGGCAATGGAGCAGTATTAAAAATGCATGTCGAATCTCTTTGTCTGTTACTGTCATTTGGTGGCTACATGGTATCCTTTTCTTATATTATCAGGATATGTCGCCGATTACAGGCGCTTGTTTTAATCGTACTAATGCGTTTCATGTCTATGCTGTAATTTTCTTGTGTATTATTCTTTGTGGTGTTCATATTTTTATTATGGTGATATTTGGAGTTTTAACTTATCGAAACATAAGAAAAACTACTTTTCTCTTGCGTTTACGAGTTGATCGACAATTAACAATCATAGTTTTCATTCAAATTTTGCTTACCTTAGTAGGTCTTACGCCATATGGCATTAATGCCACTTATGCAGTTATTACACTCAATGTTCAAAAGAATGCTGATCAAAGAGCTAAGGAGGCGTTGGCTGATAATATCACTTATCTTTTTGCTTCAATTGCTTATGGAGTAAGTGTGTTTTTAAATAAAGTGTTCATTTTTTGTCTGACATTTCTAGGGACGATTCTATCTTTTCATGTTAACATCACCTCGTTTTCGTCGTATGGTAAAAAATCGAATTTTACAATGGCAACCATCACGACGTGTTATTCCATTGGCAAAATAATTTTCATTTTATTGCAAGTCTCGTTTCTGTTCTCATTTTGTTTCGTGATCAATTATTCGTCGTTTCTTCGAAAACTCGTGGCTTTTTATATTTAAATTATTAGAATAGTTTATGTTTCAATATAACAAATAATAATGGAATGCACAAGCGATGGGAACTGGAAGAATATCTTCAATTTATGTTGGTTGTGATACTAGACTAAAACTTGTGTGCAAGTGGAGTGTGAAGATTATTGTTTCATTCATAATGCTAAATCTTATGATACTCTTCTAACACTAGTAAATATAGCAGAAAGCAAGATTGTGATATTCTGCTCTTACTGATTTACTAGTCGAAGACCGAAAACTATTGAGAACACGGATGCTAGATGCACCGAAATATCTGACATAACATGTCATCTGTGGCGCTCGTATAGTTCATTGTTGTGAGAGATGTCTTTATTTTCTTATGCTTTATGATGCTATCTCTTATTGTATGATGTCACCGTGTTTCAATTCTTATCAGAGGTCCAAACAGGCCTTGAGCCTGTCTGTTGTGTTTTTTCTAAATTTTCAATAAAAAACACTCCATTGTTTGAGTAGAAAGTGCAGATATCAAAATATAATATGAAGAATCTTTGCTCTGGAAGATAAGAAATAATTTATGTATAAGTTTGACTCAGCACAATCACGACTATTAATAAATTATAATTTCATAGTTCATTGTTCATTCCTTTATTTAGTTTATTTATCCGTTTCAGTAGGTTACTGATAGCACTATTTAATTGGCTGTTATTAAGGTTTTACATAATGCGTTGACGAAGTCTTATGTTTCTGATTCATATGTATCTTGTCGTAATGCAATCGAACATAATAAGTCCTCTTCAACTAGTTCATCGAATTCAGTAAAAAACTTTTTACTCAAAAAAAAATTTTTTCTAAATGTTAAAAGCTTCCTTTTTGTCTTTACTCAATAGTTACATACCTCATTTAATCAATAGATCTTTGGCTTAACTATTTTATTTTATATCAGTAACATCCTTGTTTTCTTATAAAGACAGTATAGTTCAATCCATACCACGTTAAGTTCTATATTTAATGAAAAAATGTCGAGAGTAGTACAGCACCGCTTAACAAAAATATGAAGTATATAATCACGGCAGCTGCCAAAATTTATTTTTCGAAACCTTTTGAAACGTTACTGTGGATCTTAGTGTTCAATTTAATGTAAAATATTAAGACTAAGGATGAGGGTATGGTGAGTGCTTGTGAAAGATGAAGGTGAAGAGAAAATCAAAGAAAAAGTGAAACCAGGATGGGAGATAACTCTTTCTCTTGCTATGGGTTGTACTTGTACAGTTAAAATATATTAAAGACTATGAGAGATAAATTGAAAAATTTCCATAAAAATGAATTCTGTTAGCCCTTAAAGACTTCAGTATGTGAACTCTTTGTTCCACTTGATGTTAGTCATTGTCTCCGAAACATGCACTTTTTTCTTGATGAACCCTTTTTTTTATTAAACTAAAGCTCAATTGTGGTCTGAATCTAAGCCATCGTATTTCAGAGTTTTTTCATCAAATGTAGAATTTGATGTGCTATGCGTTGAACAATAATTATATAAAATATCAACGAAATGTAATTTTTTTAATGTTCTTGAATATTCTTTCAATAATTTATTTTCAAAAAATTTTATTTACGTTGTTACAATGTAAAACTAACTATGAATATACATTGTTTTTTATGATATCATTGATTATTAAATAACTATTTAGTGTTTACTTGATCTGAAATAACTTCGACAAAGTTTTGTGTCGAAGTTAAAACCTCTGCACGACATATACAAAAGATCAATACCCAAACAGTCAGAAATGAGAAATTAACACGTTACAATGACCACTTCTTTCTTTTCTTTCAACGCGTTTTAACTTTCAACAAATGTACGAAGTCTCGAGCTTTAATGATTGACATAATTTCGACTTTAACAACGTTATAATATGTGAAAACACAAACGTTTAAACATGTCAATAAAATAACTGCATTGAAATGCAAAAAGTCGGACATTTTTCATATATTTCAACGCGTTTCAAAGTTAAGCGTATTGAAACTCGGAAGGATACTACCGAATAAGATCGTAAATTTACCACTTCTTAGGTTACAATTTTAATAGGTTAGAAAGATACAGTATGAGATCCTACGCATATATGTATATCTGTTTTTGTTGATTGCAAAGAGAACTTTTCAGAATTAAATACTCCTAGAGTTCCTGCAATTTCTGAGTGTTTGGAATAAAGACTTTGGAAAGAAATCTTTTCTTTTGTATACCTAAGACGAAAACCAGGGTGTGGATGACTAGAAGACTAACACTGCACATCCTAGTTTTCCTATAAGGTTACAAAAAGAAAAAGATTAGTTTCTAAAGTTTTTATTTGAAACACTCAAAATTTCTAGAAACTCTAAGAGTGCTCAATGCTGTAAAGTTCTCGTTTTTTACTCAATAAAAAAAAGAAAAATACACAAATGTGTGGCGTCTGATGCTCTTTCTTTCTAACCTATTGAAATTGTAACCTAACGGGCTGGTAGACTTTCGATCTTATCCAATGATATCCTTTTGGAGATTTTCGATTACTTACATAGCGTATAGAATAAATCTTACAGAGTGCTATATTCATCTAGAGAAGATACTAACATTTCCTGTATATTCTCTGTTGTGATACTTAGATCATACATATCTTAAGATGACAAGCATTGTATTTTAATGACAAAGATTAAATGTAATCGGATCAAGTTAAAACTCTCATCACTTAACCAACAAATTTGAAATATAAACTGCACTTGACATGCAAGGTCCGCAAATGAGATAATCAATTTTCTAAGAAATGTTTAGTGCATGTTCGGTGTCCATAATTCAAAATCTCAACAGACTTTTTTGTTTTGCCGTTTTGCTTCGATACCTCATTGAGTAACATGATGAAAACTATTTCAAATTTACAAAAAAGATTTAACAAAAATCAGAACTTTGCGTCTATTTTTTCTTATATTTGAAATAAAAGCATCTTGGTTTTTCTGTTGGGCTCGGTTTTTAAAAATTGAAACGTATATTTTTTATATGCTACTTACTGCACTTCTATCCGAATAAAATGAGAAAGAAATGTGATGAGGCTTAGAATTTAGAGCTCCAAGCATACCCTAAACATTCATTAAACATTGAGTATCTCAGTCTCTGTCAACACACATAAGAGCAGTCTACATTCTATATATGTTAATTGAACAGTGAGAGCTATTATTTAATCCGACGACATCTAATTATTATTACTTATAATACTTTCCATCGTTACGTTGTAGTATTCAAGCAAATCGTATAAATATATGTATGTTAAATGTGTCATGTATGAATGGTCTGTTTCGAGTTCATTTATCATTCACATAGAACTAAATTATATTCTTTATTGTTCTAGTCAGTACTTACAAACTTTTTATTTAACGTAGATAACAACTTATGTAACCGTTTTTATTTTAACTCATCGTTACTATTGACAAAGCTTCCCCATATCAATTCAATTAAGGTGTGAATCTGTTTTCCATCCACATCCTTCTCTGCTCTAAAGCATTTTCTGTCAAGTGAATCATTCATGACGTAAATGAGTAGAACATATGTCTGAATTTGAGATTAAACCACAGACCTTCTAGTGTAAGAGAAATACAAACATAAGAATTCTGAAATCAGACGAGAGCGTGAATGAAGAGAAGCATGACATCCACTGACGACTCACATCCTTTTCGAATTTTTATTTCAAAACTTCTTACAAATATTTCAAATTTCATTATCAACACAAATAACAAATAAGAAATATAAAAGAAATATATATATACATGTAATCAATCTGTTCTTTTCTATCTTTCTTTCTTCTCTTGTTCTGTAACAATACAATGTGAGAGTAGCCTCCTTATACATTGTCATGCTAGAGAAAAAGAAAGAAAGAAAACAACACAATGGTTATATATATATCCCTTTTTATGTCTCTTACCTATTATTTGTGTTGATAATGACATTTGAAATATTTAGAAGAATTTTTGAATTAAAAGTTCAAAAACTTCATAATCCATGAACTAATATTCTCAGTTATTAATCCATTTAAATATATTTAATTGAATGAAATTCATATTATCAATAGATTTGTTTCTGACACTATAAACATTTAGATTTTTAAATTAAAATTCAAAACGTATAGAATCAATAAAACATTATTCTTAAAAGTATAGCATAAATGTGAAAAGAGATTGAAATCAACCTGATCTTAACTATCTTCCTTCTTTGCTTTTAGCTTCGGGCGAGTGTTGTCTGCCTGCGTAACTCTAGAATATCTATTTATTAATAAAAGAAGGAATGTTAAGATGTAGACATTGTGTTATTAATCAACTAGAGAGAAATTTATCAATGCATAGCAAATCGTTTAAAGTATAGTATTGCTTGATTATTGAATTATCCATGTGATTCATTATTTTTTATCAACTTTTTTACAGTTGGCATGTATAAATCACTTATTGCAAAACAGTAGTGTTTATTTCTATGTCCTTTTGTTAGTGTTTTACCAATAGTGAATCGTAAAAAAGACGATGTCCACATCAATATATTCATCGATCTTTCTTTAAATAAACAGAGCACACTGCTAAAGATCAAAATATAACTTCATTGAAACACTAAAAATAACTTATATTCAAACAACATATGTATTTTGTCTATTATTTCGAATATTTCATCCTTCTAAACTCAACTAGTAGATTTCAACAGAATACACTTGTGAACTATATAATTGACGATTATAAGTAAACTTCAATTAAAGCTGAAGGCTGAATGTAGCTTAATATAAATATGCAAGATCAGTTGTTTGAAATCATTGCTTCCATTGTTTTTCATTTTGAAATTTTGTCAAAATTCTGCTTAATTTTGCATGAAACTTAACTTTGTCTACACAATAATAATCGAGTTTAATCTAATTTTTTGTCTATATTTTTGTTTTTGAATGAGAATTGCTAGCATTGGGAAGTCATCACTAGTCAATAATCAATATTTTTATAACTCCTGTGTAATAGCATGGGAAAAAATCTCTGTATGACACATTAAAAGAAAAATCCCTGTGTAACACACATGGGATAAACTAAGGTTATGTATTGTATGACACATGATACAACGAACAGAACAACGGTATAATTGTAGAAAAAAAAACCAAGGTAAATTATCAAAGAGTCATTCTCAGTGGAGTCACGTATATCTATGAATATACAAAAGTAAAGTTTATTTCACGATGCATATATACACTGAAACGAACTAGTGAAGTCTCACATATAGAACAACTTCGATACATTACACTGTTATTGTGATAGTGTTTCCACAATATTTCGGACTAATACAACAAAAACAAAGTATGTCTATATAGGGTGTCCAGTAAGTCATTAGCCCAAGAAAAATTTGAATATCTCAACCATGCTTTCACCAAATGAACTGATATTTTTACCGCTGATAGAGAACTGTTGCTAGTCCATATTCATAAGAATAATGTTGACAGAAACTATTTCGAAGTATCGCTTTCGAAATCAATAAAAAGAAATTGTCCTCTTACGAGTTTCGAAAAAAGTTATTTACGTTTAGGACAACTTGAAGTTGTAAGATATCCTAGTGTATCTGAAACGAATTTAACCGGAAATATGCCTCTATACTTTAAAAAGAATTAGCCTACTTTGGCTAGAATATGCCAAACTTATTCAAATTTATTCTTCGCGGTAACTTTAGAACACACTGTAAATAGGACTTTTTTCAGAATTCCCATAAGAGGATATTTCTTTATTGGAGTCAATAGTGATACTTCGGAACAGTTTTTGTCAACGTTATTCTTATGAATATGGACTAGGAATAGTCCTCTATCAGCGGTAAAAAAATCAGTTCATTTGGTGAAAGCATGGTTGAGATATTCAAATTTTTCTTGGGTTAATGACTTACTGGACACCCTATAGGCAACGAAGTTTCGTTTCAAGATCATTATAGTCATAAATATTCAGCAAGTTTTTGTGTCCTCAAGTAGAACCACTAACCTTAGGAGTATGAGTGCAGGTGCAAAGAATACCCACATCGACACCAACATTCGCACTCATATCCAACTAATTCTATCGACGAAACTTCACATGAATTTTTTTTTCTATTTTTGACGAAAAGGACAAAAAGTAATCATTGAACCATTTTCTGAAACATCTTCGCAATCGTATTTTACTTCGACAACAAACATAATACTAGTTACATTCGAAAAACGTTCATTGTCCTTGACCTAATTCGAAATCAACGATGTCATTATACAATTTCGTCTGGATCACTGTTCCGATCATCATCGCTTGTGCACATGCAGTACCAATCAATGTGGTGAGTTCACTAGTGAAGTTAAGCTTATATTCCAAGAACTATGCCTTATTTGATCATTTTTCAAGGCATCAAATATGAACCGTAAATATCCAGAAGAATCACGTAAGAAACTCATTGAACTATTTCTACAATAAATTAAGACAAATGCCTATGAAAATGCATGTTTCTTCTTAACCAACTATTTGTTCAGTGTTTAGCTAGATAAGTTCACTTGTTTTCAAAATATGAATGAGAGTGTTTTTACATAATCACTAAGTATTGACTTGCTAATTACCATAAAGAAGAGTGAATCGAATATACTATTTAATCATAAATGCTTGCCTTTATATGCTGTAACTTGATGTTTACACATGGTGAATTTATCTTTTCTTTTTTTAAAGCGGACTTGTTCGAAGGTGATATGAAATTTCCTCCAGGAAGCGTAAGTTGTTCATGATAATTGTAATATGAACGATGCTTGATTTGTTATCTGTATACTTTTCTTCTAGCGTGGTGTACTGATGCTCGGAAATACTATGCGTTGGCCAAATGGTACTGTCCCATACGAGATCCAATCAGGATTTGGTATGTCTTGCTACAACTTATCAAATTGACGTTGATTCAGTATTAAGGAATCACTATTGAGTGAATTAGAAGTATTAATGTATTCTCACGTCGATCATCATCATATATATACTATATTTAAATGTTGGTTATTGTTCTTGTAGAAAGCTCAGATCAAACAAAAATAATTAATGCTATGCGACGATTTGAAAGTTTGGTAGCGGTAAACAATCAAAAATGTATTCAGTTTCGACCACGTCAATCATCAGATCAATATTACATTGTCATCACAAATGGAGACGGTTGCTATTCCACTGTAAGTTCTCTAAGACATCAAACAAACGTTGAGTTCGTGTGTATATATTTGAAAAATATAGATTGGTCAAAATACAGATGTGTCGATGACTCTAACAGTGTCTTTTCAAAGTCCTGGCTGCATCTATGAAGGAATCATCATGCATGAATTTTTACATACCTTAGGTACGTTGAATAGAAAGTTGGTTTTTGGAATATTCCTTGTAAAGGTGATGAGAAGTCAGAACTCATACGTCTCTCTCATTTGGCTTGATTATTTGAGGGTGAATGTAGATGAGGATATGCTAGCCTGTTGATCGGTAGATATATAGGCGTTGAGCTGTGTGGATTAGTAGTTTCAATGAGAGTTAGCATGTGATAACCTTGCCTTTAACTTCACTCACTCACATTATGTCTTCATCTTGATGTCGAGAAATTTTTCATCGATAAATTATTGATGGTTGTCGATGCTATTTCGGTCACATTTTAGGCATTATACGAATGGAGAAATGGCAAAACTTCATTTACTTCAAACACAATTTGAAGTAGAGCGAAGTACAAGTTCAGGAGAGAAGTTATTGTTACTGTTCAGTTATATTATCACCTGATGAAAAAACTTGCGGGTCTGATTTTTTTTTTTTGATTAAAAAAAATACCTATTTTATGAAAATAAGAATTGCAAATAAAATTGGATTTAAAAGTCTTCAAGATCAAAAAATCAAAAACTCTAATTAGTTTCTTGAAATTTTTTATTTCACTTTTCATCTTGTAGAAGAAGATAGTTGATCTAGTGAACATTAAATATGAAGAAATCTTATTAGTTAATCATTACCTGATAAGATTCCATCATTCTTAAAACTTAGACAATCACTTTTCTTTATCTTCTAAGTAAAAAAGCAACTAGAACATTTCGAGAAACTAGCTCGAGAGTTAAATTTCTCGACTCTGATTGGATGATTTAGTGAGAAGAGAAATTTTGAATCGTAAAACCTTTTTTAGAAAAATAAGATCAAAAGTGATATTGGTTTCCTAACGACGTTGTGATGAAATATTAGTTCACATTGGACACAATCAGTCTACTTTTCAAGAGTCAACATCAATTTGAGAAAATTGGCATCAAACTGCTTAACTAGTTTTTTAAGATACTGATGAAACAAAATAGAACTTTATCAACTGATCGATCTAGATCAACTAAAACGAAGACAAAAGGATGATTTATTTATATAGATTTTATATTTTTCTTCTAATCGAACGATTGATTTCTATTTCTTTAGAAACAAGAAAGAAGTAATCATTGTAGAGAAGTTACTTTGTATTCGACCACGTAGCACAACTATATGTTACACCGTTGTAACAATCAAGATTTCATTCGAGCACGCAAAACTTTTCACAATCTAGTAGTAATCGTGAAAATATTCTTCAAAAGTTCATAGTGATAAAAGTTGATTTTTACATGATCGAGTAGTTCTTGAACATAATCATTTTGAACATTACACCATATTGACGATTCGAAAGCATCATTTATAATCTTCGAAAGATAATTTATAGGCGATATGTTTCAGAGTACAAAGAAAAATATTCCATGTTCGAACCATTGATGATCATCATCAAACAGAAGAATCAACTATTTAAAGTTCCATATATTTGCTACTACAAAAAAAAAATAGAAGGAGAGCGATTCTATTTTCTAAACAGAAGATGAATAAATTACCTTTTGTTTCACTACTGATTCGACTTATTATTCTCTCTTTCGCCAAATAGGTTTCTATCATGAACAATCTCGTTCTGATCGTGACAACTATGTTCGAATCAATGAAGCGAATATCCTTGACGGTAAAGACTTTTTTGTTTACTTGTCTTTCGAATATTTCATATAACAATGGATCTGTTCTATGATCATATAGGTATGTCATACAACTTTGAAAAATATGACAATACGGCAGTCGATACGCAAAACACACCCTATGATTATGGTTCAGTCATGCATTATGGTCCTACGGCATTTTCTAAAAATGGCTTGAATACGATCGAACCACTTCAATCTGGTGTTGTGATTGGACAACGTCAAACATTAAGTGAAATTGATATTCAAGAAGTTCGACTCTTCTATGGTTGTAGTGCAGCAGGCTCTACATTACCTCCCACAGGTAAGCTGCTCTTTTCTCTTAAGATGAGACTTAGAAAGCAAATCAGAGTGATCTATCTAATACCCGTCACTATTTTGAAGTCTTTACATAGAAACGCACATTTCACACTTCTCTGCATCTGCTTGAATTCACGTTTTTGATTTAAAAACCGATTAAATAATTCTCTATTGATCCATGTGATTTTCATCTAAATATCTTGAGTGCTGAATGCGCTATAACTGAAACACGAAGACACTCTTTCAGACACTAGCTGTTCTAGGTCTTATTGCCATCACTAGGGTCATTTTTTCGTACTTGCAATATCACGTGAGTAAAACTACATGAAAGATATGAGTGTGGATGTGGGTGTAGTATTCATCAAAAACTCTCACATCCATACCTACACCATAAGATGTAGTTGTTAGTGGAAAAATAAGAATCTGAAAAATCTTCGACGGTACACTACATTTCTAAACACTTTAATTATTGGTTGTGTTGAAAGATCGTAATGATTTTGTTTTTTTTCTCTTGACAGGGGTTTCACCAACTATTCAGACATATTCGACGCAGTTGACCACCTTCAGTCGAACCTTCACACGTCCAAGAGGCTCTGGCAGATACTACTATGTCGCCCTTCGATTTACTGTCTCTACCAGTGGTGTTTACACTTTTCAGAGTACTAGCGCTATTGATACATATGGCTGTCTGTACAGTAGTTTTAATCCATTTACTCCGAACGAAAATTTAATGCTCTCAGATGATGATGGTGCAGGCGATCAACAATTCAAACTTACAGTTTCGCTGAGATCGAGACAAATAGTTATTCTCGTTGTTACAACTCACACACCGCGTACCATTGGAGCCGTCAAAATCACCATAAGTAGTGCATCAAGCACGTCTTTTGATATTAAACGTATTTCTGACGCAACAACAACAACAACAAAATTGTGATCGACAATTGCACGTAATAGTGAGTAGTCTTTTATTTTTGATTACTTTATCTAAAGTTTTGTACATACATGCGATGCTCGGATAAGATGCTTGCCTTCCTATTTCTTAGTAATTCAAGCGAAGAACTAGATTCTTGATTGTCGAAACCTGCTCAAAAAATCCATAATGATTGTGTAAATTTTAGAATAGCAATTGAATATCACAGTTGTTGACATTGAGCAAACGCCGGAGTATATCAATAAGATCATTTGCATGCGACTAAGAACATATTGCTTTACTTAAATGAACATATGATAGTCACGTGCATGAAGAATTTATTGATGGTCTAGATAAAAAGAAGATCAATACAGATATATTCACATTCATCGTCACTCTATTTTTGAAAAAGAAAATAATCTTCTAGTAAAAAGCTAGCTAACTGGTCGATAATGCAAAATAAACGTGATTATTCCATGAATATTCTTCACTAGAATAGAACAAAAATTGATTAAACTGTATGTGCTGTCCAATCATCGATTGAATGCAGCATGTAATCTGGTTGCTGTTAGAGAAATGAAAATGGACGAATAAAGTTTTGATATATTTTTCATTGTGCTGATTGTGATTGAACTTATTTTAGGTCGTGTTACTCGTTCGCACAAAGAAAAGCTGACGTGAACATTTGAAATCTTGTCTAGCTTCTTTTTTATCGAATAATTCTTTCTACTTTACTTTTCAAAACATTTTAATCATTTTATTCATGTTCGTTTGTCTATTGCCAGTTTTTTAAAACTTGTTTTCATTTACTCACTTGTTCAATATAATATTGTTTAATTCATAATTTTTCCATAAGTTTTTTTTTGTGTATCAATCAATTAATTTATTGATGAATAAACAAAATGCAAATCAATAGATCACTGATGTCTCATATGTGAGGCGATATACACTTGTCTTTCTTCTTCAGAGCCGGAGTCACATCCTCAAAAATGCTTAATAGAATATTTTAGTCTTTTAAGAAACTTATAAATTAAATATTATCTTCACATAAATTGGTCAAGAAGAAAGATTCAATAAAAGAAAATCAACTGATCAAGTGACAAAATATGATGCAATAGTTTTGAAAGATAACATAATATTGTAATCGATAAAATAGATGAAATGATCACTGAAATCCATCTAAATGACTGACATAAATATGGAATTGTCAATAGTTAGATTCTCACTACATTTTGTCCACGCCCATATCCTTATTTATTTTTGACCTTCGGACTGTCACAGTTCAGTAAATTAATGTGATAAATAGGAGAATTATCGACAGAACATTATAGTACAGCGCACATTAAACTGTAGGTCAATCTTCGATAATACTATTATTTTCTTCTTGTTAAAATGATACAGTTGTGTTAGAAAGGTGATCCGAGCGAAAAAGATCACATCATTCCATATTTTTCACAAAAAAAATGTTTGATTTTGACAAGCAGCTAGGATTATTTTTGCTATCATCCGAAACGAAAGATATTTATCGATATAGAATACATGAAAAGCTAAAAAGAGATGTAAGTAAGTTCGATGGTTTGATTGTCGAGAAATCTTTCGTTCAATTGTAGCCGAATATGATTCTTGTTAGCGTAGTAACTTCAGTAATAAATGGTAAAATAGTCAGTTTACTGTATATAATAGATAGTTGAATAATGTGTGATTCATATTAGTAAGAAATACAGATTTGATCAGCGAAAAACAACGTTTTATACGTAGAAAGTTTAATGTAGTATAAATGAATTAAATTGAAACAAACCACCACAGAATAAACATGTGACGTTTCAAAGGATTACTTACCAGAAATTCATATAATGGATGCAAAAAGAAAATGAAGTTAATTTATAATTACTGTAGCCAATATTTACAAGTAGCCAAAGTGTGGGTGTGGATATGAGTCAAATGAAGATCAACGCCCACAACCACCCCTATATCGAAATCATCTGATTCGTAGAAGCACAGCCCGCAAAATCTGATTCGGTTGAAGCTCCATGTCGAAAACATATGATTGGCCGAAACCTTACCATGTGCAAATGTCGTCATTTGAAACCCAACGCCGATAAAACATAATTGACTGGAATTTCAGCCCGAAATAACCTGATTGGTTGGGTGGCCAATATCGAAAACATATAATTGGCTAAAGATTGATTCATAACACGACAACACAATTTGGAGCATCGAATTATATGATAATGTGGTGGCTGTATTCACTCTCACACTCAAAATACAGTGTATTCACATCTTCATAAGTTTCTTGTTTTCTCTCGATATGTGGAAGGCAAAACACGTGCACCTGCCTGCACGACCTAAAAGGCGAGTAACCAATTCAAAATCACTTCAATCCAAACATGCATAATCGAGCCTACTTAGTATTATGGTACTGGTTGTTTTCTTCAAGCATTCTTCCTAAGCATCTACAAAAGATTTGTGAGAAAGTTTATTTCAGCGGTGTAACGATGATACAAGAAGACTTATGGATGTCTGAGTTTGATTTCGTTTGAGCTGAAACGTTCAGAATATGCTCAAAACGATATTGTCAACATTATTAAGATAAGTAAAATTTACTGCTCTCCTTCTAATCATTCGAATATATCGAAACTTTCTATAAATTTTATGATAGTTTTTCGATTATAAATATTAATCTGATTTATAATTGCAGTCTGAGATATCGTTTTGAGCATATTCTGAAATTTCCATCTCAGACGAAATAGAAATCAAACTCTTATAAAAATCTAAATATACCATCCTTATATCGTTACAGTAAACTTTTTTTCAAACTTTTCTTAGATATTCGAGAAGGATGTGGGTGTGGATATGGTATGTGTGGGTATGAGTGTGGGTGTATGGTTGTGGGGTGTGGGTGTGGGGTGTGCGGGTTTGGGTGCAGGGCTATGAATAAACAGATGAGACATCCACACTCAACAGAAATAGCTTATTCACTCGTGAACAATCCTAGTCTTTGCCGTACTTGTAGCCACTCCTTCATTTTTAGAAAAGATCTTTTCGTAAATTGAACATGGTTATGTGAGAAATAAGATAGGAAGACGAAGTTGAACAAATAAACCCTTGAGGTGCAACGAAGGCACAGTTCGAAGTACAAATGCATGTGGCTGGTTATAGATTGTGCCTTTGATTTGATCAAGAAGCGAACTTCTGTGAGCTGTTTATAATATAAATACGAATATTAAAAACAAAATTTGTCCTTGAAATTGTTCTAAGTCGTCATTACATAGTGAGTCGATAGTTGATAATAGCAATATTCATGTTTCGAATTGTGGCACGAGCCTATTAAATGGTTACATGGCAGAAGCAATCCCATATTGCTTTTACGACACTTTTTTCTTCTACAAAGATTACTATTTTAACGAAAAATTTAATGCTTAAGAAAGTAGTGAAACAAGATCGAATTTCTATTTATCGAAAGATCACGTTGTGCGCTTTTTCAATTTCAATAAATGCGAAAAACATTACGTATTCATTAAATATAAAGACAGATTCCGCTGCTATTCTGTCTCATTTCAACGTAAGCGATGGTTTCAACAATAATTCGTTGTATCACATTCTTTCTATTCAGGTAATTTTAAAACCTATTTATTCAGATTCATGTAATGTTGAGCAATGTTCCTTTTAAGCCTTACAGGTTTGATTCTTGTTTCGTATTACATGTACAGATGTTAATTTAGTATGTCGCTAGTTCGAGTGCAATCTCAATTCTGTCATGGAATATCTCAATATGGTCGATGTTCGCCAAATAGTGCGTGTGCCTGTTTTTATATAGCAGGTGCTATTGACATTGGTATTTGTGGCGATGAATTTGTGGATTGTTCTGAGCTAGTTCCATGCGAAAGCTCGAGCAACTTTTGTCATGAACGTGGTCATAGATGTGTTTATCATCCTCGATGTAATAATCTTCCTGTTTGTTATCCAGTACCAAGTTTCAATCAAAAACTCTGTCCATCGATAGCAAGTAAGAAAACGAACAGTGATCTAGAGATTCAAGTGTAAGTCGAATCTTTCTTAATATTATATCTTCGTCATTCGCACATCCTCACATATGTAGTTGATGTAAGAACAGTGGGAAGAGCCGAAGAGTCTTTTGAAAAAAGTAGATAGAACGTGGCAGAAACAAAATGAATTGTGATTATTGAAGAAAAGGTTTCTTCTCTTCTCATGGACTGCATCCACCAATTTGAAATACAAGAGCCTATTGCATTTACATCTATTAATACATGGAGAAGCAGTGAACTTTTGAATGTACATGATAGACCGGAATAAATTGAACAATTGATTATTCTATTCGATTCAATTCAATTCTGTAGAACGTGTCATATGTTAGTATCTTCATAAGAGCACATCGATGCTATTGTGCCACGTCTCTCTTTATTCACAGCTTCCATTGTATACTCGACTGATTCTTGTGAATATTGAGTTCGCTCTATAGCTTTTTTACAAGACAACTACGATTGATATCTAGCTCGAAAGAAAACGCATTTATAATCCAGTCTGTCACATGTCTAATGATTAAACTTGAGAAATTGAAGGCTGATCATTTAGCTGCAACATATTAATCGGTAGAGTTCAAGAGAGCTTTAGTAATTAAATAGGATATATAGGTCACTAATGATTAGTAATTCAACTGTGCATATGAATTGTTTTTTCACAGCTTGCAGCACCATGGGCTTAGCTATATCAGTAAGATGCGAACAAACACAGAATGTATCTTGCCGAACCATCTTTGAAATGGCTACTTCTTTTGGAGATAATGCGTCAATGTGTCGACGTTTCCAGAAGTTTTTGAGGGAAGAACGTCGGAGTTCAGACTGTCTGATGGCGAGAAAGTTGTACTCTAACGACAGTCAGTGGATTTTAACCTTCATTTGTATTCAAAATACAATAGAAGTGATGAATTTGAGCAGGATGGTCTCGACGGATTCGATTCGATTCAATTCGGTTCGCTTTAATTTGTTCCAGCTGAATCACATCGAATTGAATTGTCGAAAATTTTACTGACTTTTCAGTCTCTAATGAACGCAGAAATTTTTCATCAAAGATTAGTTTCGCAAGAAAAAAGTCGCTTTTCAGATCATGTGAAATCGTCGTTCTATTTTGAAACACTGCTTAGGCTTCACCTAAAACTTAAATGCACCGAGTTCTATATTTTCTATGATAATGAATAGTGATGAATAGTACAACTACAAGTACGATTCCAATTACAACCGCAACCGCAACAACAACAACAACAACTGCAACACAACAAATAGGTAAACATTAGATTAACGCTTTTTTGGTCTTTCTGAATACTATTTTTTACTCAATTATATATTGTTGCTTTCTATGCAATATTACTCTGCAGCTAGCGTAAGGTTACATTGATAAGATAAATGATCTTATAGCATGAGTTATTCAATGTTTACTACAAGAAAAGGCTGTGTGTAGGTGTGAGGATTGGATGTGGGTTTTTATCTCGTTAAAACTATACACCCACAAAGTTTGGGCGTGGGTGTCAATAAGCTTTGATAAATCTAACCTCTATCTCTTGTATGATGAAATATGAAGTTTTTGTTACTTTTCTCTCGCCTCAGTAATCAATTTTAACGTCTTACGACGGTTATCATAATTACTAGTTCGACATTATCGTTTGATGATTTAAAGTGACGTTTTAAATCAAAGTTCTTTTTCTTTCGCTCAATTCATTATCTTGATTATTATTGTTCTACTTTTTCTCTCTCTCAATCAACTCTGAAGGCTCTTTCTTGTCATTTATGTTCTGTAAACTGCCTAAGCTAGAAAAATAATTGTTATTGTCACGATCATTTTTGTCAACTTACAAAATATATATAGGTTTCTCACTAACCTTCGCAATAAGAACAATTTATGACAATTATTAGATAAGGGCATTATCTCACAAAAATTAGTGAAAAATTGCTTTTTCTATTTTCATTGATTCGTGTTCATTATAGTTCTCGATGTTAAAAACCTTCTAGGAAAGAATCTTTTCGTTGGATCATTAATATATCAATAAAAAAATACACTTGTGTTTCTGTAACGAATATCAGTGTTTTCACCAATCAATGCTTAGTCTCAAATGGATTCAGGCAGTTTTAAATATTTGCCTACACGGAACACTCATTCGTGTGGTCATTATAGTCGCAGTAGCAGTCAGTATCAATTATTATGATGCGCGTATTTTTATAAACATGCTACCTCAATGAATCGACGTTAAACAAAAAGTGTATAGGACACAAAAGTACAAAATATATGAGATCTGTTTTTTTTCATTGAGTATCGAAATGAACAAATGTAATGAGCTACTCCTTCATTATGAACAATCAGCTTATAGAGAATATAGGAGTCTAAAATCTTGATATGACCAAAACGAAAAATTGGTATGTCAGACTCGTACCTGTTGTGAACTTGGTATAGTAGTCTTGCGGTTTCTTCTCTTAAATGAAACAGAAACTGAGCTGAGCTGGGTATTCCATGACGATTGAAGAAATACGTTGTGACATATTCAGACTTCCTTTTTCCTTAGATTCATCTTTTAAGGACATCCCTCACTCACCCTCAAGAGAAGTAATCTCAGAATCAATGCGGCAGTTAATTGTAGAAAAGTGTGTGTACGTACGAGTTTTTAGCACACACTTTATTCTCAAATACGTACAAATAACGACCACTGCTGTCAGCACACATATAGAGAATAGAATATGATCGATCTCTCGGTATTTCATTAAAGTTTTACTATATTCTTTAGATTTGAACACTTTAAAATTGATGAAAATCGCTTTTTAATTTTGAAATTTTTTCGAAATGTCTGTTGCAAATTTTTTATATCAATGTATCAAAAGTTGGACTACAACATTCTATCATTTGGAGCTGTATGCATGATTTCTTTTCACAATTCGTCTCTGAAAAATGATCGAAAATCGGATGTAAGCTGCGCCCAGAAACTGGCTTTTTTTTGAAAACTCTGTTCAATAGAATTGTGAAATAATCCACTTGTTTCTTTTCACCTACTGAAGACCCAAAAAAAATTAGTGCACATGACGTAAAGCATGCAATCACTGATGAATTCGACCCAATCACCAATTAGTCCTGCTTTTTCACTCATTGAAATACAACAAAACCGAACTCTCAAGAACATAGTTTGTTTTTTTTTCAAGAGTTCATTGATGAATCTTTTTCTTAGGATTTCTTCCAAACGAAAGAAATGTTACCATGAAATCTAGAGTAGTGTATGTATCAACTTTTAGTAGTAACTATCGTTCGATGAAAGCATCATCGATAACTATATAACTCTATTGAGGAAACAATATTGTGCATTTTCAAGGTCTACAAAAAATGTTAATTTTTTTTCCTTAATTAATGGTAGTTCATAAGAAAAAGAAAAAATGCTAACTAAGAAGAAATGATTTTTTGTTCCGAATTCGAGAGAAAAGGGAATGTTGTTTCTGTTGACACGTACGCTGGCTTTCTTCCTCTCTCTCTCTATCATTCCTCCTGATTGATCATTCCGATTTTTTAAAATTCTATTAAAAAATGGTCGAAAATGATGAAATAATCGAATGAGAGATAGAGGCAGATTGTCTAGATGATATTCTTATAACTTTGTTTGGTGGATAGTTCCTGATGACAGGATACAGAAACAAAACTGCGCGAAAAATGTCTCCTAATAAGAAAAAATTACTAAATAAAAACAAAGATGTGTGTACTGACAATGAGATGAATGAAGAAACGGACGATCAACAAAATAAAATAAAACAGCATTTTTAAATTTTGATAATCATCGTCCATTCTAACTTTCATATTCCAAGGGCTCCAATTAGTCCATGTATTCTGATTTCTTAGAATTAAGCCACATCATGTCTCACTCCTACTCATCCGCCCCTTCAGACAAAATCACCCTTTTTTCAAACTTTGTTCTCTCTCCCTCTTCTCTATGTCCTGTCTCTTATTGTGACACTTATTTTTCTCTATTTTAAGTTCCATTACGAGCACCTGCTATTGACATTCGTCCGAATGCAAAATGGGTTCAGAATGGTCTCACTGTGGCTGGAGAAAATGGATCAGGCAATGGAATCAATCAACTCTATTACCCGTATGGTTTGTATGTCGATGATGATCAAACTATTTATATCGCTGATCACGGGAATCATCGTATTGTGGAACGGAAAATTGGTGCGACAAGTGGTCAAGTAGTTGCTGGTGGAGCTGGAAGTGGAAATGGGTCTCATCAGTTAGACGGTCCACGAGATGTGATTGTCGACAAAGAGAGAGATAGTCTAATCATCTGCGATCCAAATAATAGAAGAGTAGTTCGATGGCCTCGTCGCAATGGTACAAGTGGCGAAACAATCATCTCGAACATCGATTGCATCAGTTTGACAATGGACGAGAATGGATCTCTTTATGTTGTTGACTATATGAAAGATGAAGTGAAACGATATCGATTTGGTGATACTGAAGGAACAGTGGTTGCAGGTGGCAATGGAAGAGGAAATCGTCTCGATCAACTGTCTGGACCCTTCTATGTATTTGTTGATCGAAATCATTCAGTGTACGTATCTGATCACTATAACAATCGCGTGGTGAAATGGGAAGAAGATGCAAAACAAGGCATTATTGTAGCCGGAGTTCAAGGGCAAGGAAATAGTCTTACACAATTGTCAGGCCCACATGGAGTCGTCGTCGATCAATTGGGAACTGTCTATGTGGCTGATAGTTGGAATCATCGAATAATGCGTTGGCCAAAAGCAGCCACAGAAGGAAGTGTGATTGTCGGTGGATATGGTCAAGGAAGAGAATCGTATCAATTAAATCGTCCCTGGGGTTTGTCATTCGATCGACACGGCAATCTCTATGTCGGCGATTTCCACAATCATCGAGTACAAAAATTTAATATTGAACAGGCGATAAATTAATGATGGTGATTTATTTATGTTATTGAAATTGATTTGTATTGAATAAAAAGAAGTACCTTCGCGTCTAATCAATAGATATATTAGATAGGATGGTGTGAGTGGGTTTGGATGTAAGATGTGGGTGTGCAGAGTGTGTGGGTATGACTGTTTATCTCGTTAAAACTACACGTGCACATACACCCACACTCATAATCTTCATATGTTTAGTTATTTGTTCTTTGTAACATAATCAAGGCATTGTAATTTTAATGAACAATCTGTAACCATGCAAATCTGACAAGAAATCTGATCATTTTAGATAAGATGATAATTATTAATAGTATTTTCTATAATGATAAAAAATTTTTTTTCATTTTATCAACTTAATTCAAGAGTAAGATTTATTGTTCACCAGACTATAGCAGAAAAACTATGATTTTCTCGTAATATACAAAGTGTAATGAGAAAATACTTTGAAAAGAATCTGAACTTCTGTCGTCAATGTGTATCAACTTGATTATTATCAATCTCAAGCTAGAAAAAGGGTGAACATTTTTTGAATAAATTTTGGTAAAAATAAGATGGAATATATGCTTTTGACGAGCATTATATGTTATCTTTAGCTTTGTACGTCATGATACTTGTTCACACATGCAGATGTAGAGCATTGTTTGAACAATTTATTTAATTAGAAAATCGAATATGCTTGGATTAGTGAAAAAAGTGAACTGCGTTGTTCTAGCAAAATGTTTGTTTATCATGAATGATTTTCAACCAGTACTTCGACACTCACAGCCACTGGGTTCTATGCCACATGTTTTTCCTTGCAATAAACAATAATTCCAATAGCCACATTGAATCGTGCACCAGAAATTCCAAGAACGTACGTCAAGAGTGCTACCGGATGGAACGGATGTACCCACAACTAAACAGTTCAACATGCCAACCATGAGTAAACCAATCAGAAAAACTGATTTCATGATGACACTAAAATTGGAATAAATGATTTTTTAACGATACTTTGACGAAGATTGAGCCACTCACTCAAGCGAACAGACAAGTAAAAAGTTCCAACTGGATTAAAATGTCTCGAACAAATTGAGACAACTACAAATAATAAGGCTCTTTATATAGTATTCATTTGCTGTTTTTTTTATCGAGTTCTTCATTTTTTGTCATGATCAGTTAATTATATAGAGGACCTTTGAAACATTCATGCGGTTGAAAGGTACGTCATAATTCGTGACTACAAAAATGGTAGTACACAATAATTTTACGTCGTTCGTTAACTGTTGCTTCTAAAAACTACTCACGGTGCTGATTAGAACTTTTTCTCTGAGTACTAGAAATAGTCTATAATAACTGATTAATGAAGAAGAAAGAAGAAGAAGATGAGTCATCCATATGTTTCATATTTCAATAAGACGTCATTGACTGAACAATTACAATTATATTAATGCGTTGATATATTGTAAATACAGAATATAAAATTAGGAAGAAGGATTGTACAATATTAAAGCAAATAAATTATCTACCGACCTCAACAACCATGTCGCTTGTTTGAAGCAACCAATCGGACAGACTTAATCGATTGTTAGTATAACTGAGCAGATAGAAAATGTGCCGAAAATAGAAACATGACGATAGTTATTCGGTTACTCAGATAAATGATAAATATAGCGCTGATGCATGATTAATTTTTTCCTCTTTCTATTCTTTTGAAGAGTATCATGGCGTATTTTTTCTCATGAGAGCAAGTAAAGACAATATTTACATAGAGGAAGCAAAAAGTTCTGAGAACTAGTAATATTTCTTCAATAAAAATCATATTATATTTATTTGTCTATATCAAACGTTAGAAGGCATCACAGCAACGTTCGATAGTAAGCTCAATTTACTTTTGAATAATCTTTTTGTATTTATCGATATATGACATAAACTGATTGCTCGGTTGTTGCACAGTTAAATATATTGCATCTAGGTAGACACATAATCTGTAGTTCAGACTTGTTGAATAATAGAAGCTTAGACGAATCGAAGCCAGTTGAATGTGCCTGGTAGACAATATCTTCAAATTCTCTCTTCTTTGAGAAATTAAATAACAACACTTTATATGCGGTTTGCAGTGCTATGGTAAATTTGATAACATCGATGCCTCATGAGAGTCTTTGTTGAAGGATGTGAGTGAGTGTGAATGTGATGGGAGCGGGTGTTCTGGATCTGAGTGTAAGTAAATTGAAGATTACACCCACACCCATACCTATATTCTTGTGATGAAGAGTGTGTGTAGAAACCTGTACCATACATAAAACTATACCTGAAAATAACTTTTTCGTTGAAGTTTTGCATGAAATATATTAGAGATAATCTAAATTAAAGTTTGTTAAGATAAAATTTAAAAAGCAAGCCAAGATTAATGGTCATTCGATTTAGAAACTTATGGACATTCATCCTGTAGACACTGAGGCTATATAATAAAAGAGCAAAACGTCATTTTATTTTAGACCAAAAAATTACCAGATTAGAAAAACACAGACAGATTGAGATTAACGTAAATGTTCACTTCTTGATTGTGCTATTGAATTTTGTTTTAAAATTCTTGCTTCTGATTCTCTAGCTCGTTTACATGATATCACTATAAATTTTTGATTCTCCATTTCAAATCGAATATAACAATCATCTTCATTATTTGATATTTTATCAATTAATTCTGCTAAATGTTTAATATTCTGAATTTTAATACCATTGACAGTTTCCAATACAGAATTTGCAAAATCGGATGATATTCCATGATTAACATCATCAACAAGTATTTGATTAATGAAAACAATTTGTTGATTTAGTTCTTGTAAATGACCATGTAATGCTAAATTAACTAAATTTTTTGGAGCTTTTTGATTCCATTCACGTTTACTATATTCATATAAATAAAATCGGCTCAATACTGTAAATACAATACCAGCATAAATTAAATATTCCGGATGTTTATCGTGTGAATGTAATGGAACAAGTTTTTGATTATTATCCAACGGACTAGTTAATGTTATTTCTTTACCTACAAAGAAAAAATAACATTTTTCAATCTAGACAGAAAATAGGAATTATTTTGGATGTCAATACTATTCTCGTTTTCATCAGCACATTTGTATTATGAATCAAAGAAACGGAATGGGCTGATTTTGTTCGAAAAGTATGAAATAAGAAAAGTTTGATAAAAATATTGAAAAAAAAAACTCTATATACTAGAGCTTGATTATTCTTCCGTCCTCTCTTTGAATTTCATTCTTCGTGTTATGGACTATCTTCTCTTTGTGAAATTTATTGGCATAAATTCATTGATTTTAGAACTAACACAAGGAGACACTTTTAATGAATTTTTCTAAAGAGTTTTGTAATATCTGATGTAATTGTGATGCTTAGAGCTCCTAAATATGACAATTGTACCAAAGCAATATATTGTTCAATGATTTAGTTTTTTTTGTTTACTAATTTTTTCCATAGCCAGTGAACATGCGCACTTCTTTTTTCTTTATATCAGTCTTCGATTTCCCTTTTCAAACTGTTCATTTTTTTCTGAGTGTGATTCATCATAATAACATATATTTGAGTTGAAATAAATAAAAAGAAAACCTAAATGCAATGATAATCAATAACAAGGGTACTTTTAACGAGAATTATTTCTTTTACACACAGAAGTAACTGTAGGCATTGTTTTTGTTCGTGTAGTCTTTTTCGTCGTTTCAAATGTCTACGCTATCTATTGTCACCAAGAATACTGACAGAAATGAACAAGTCCATCTTGACTCCTAAGTGAGCGACATCTCGGGAGCGATGCTAAGAAAGATCTTGAAGATTGCGTCGGAAGCGCATAACTATTAGGTAAGCATTGCCTGGAAGTTTAGTCAATATTGAGCTTTACAGGTACTGAGATGCGTTTCTGATAGAGGATCATAAGCATCGCTCATCATATTCACGTTCAATACGCATAAAAAATGCGCTACAAGTCCCATACCATGATTAAAAAAGTACTGATATCTGATATCGATTTCTTTGCATTTTTCCATATGATTATAATCCATTGAAGGTATGCAGCATTCATGGGCAGCTATGGGCGAGCATGGATGTGGATCACTTCTTGGACCGATCCATGCACAAACGCGAAAAAAAGTTTTTTTTTCAAGTGAATGTAGGTGTACATGTGAGTGTGGGCTTTTCATGTCACACACACACACTTACACCCATACCATAAGAATCATTCAAACTGAATGTTTTGAAACCACTCTCTTTATTCTGTTGAATCACATTACTACCTTGGTCATATGCAGTATACAGCAACGCGTCATAACATAAGATCCGAGTCATACATTCTGTTTTGATATTCAAAGAACGATTTTTTTAGCGATCTATACTTCTAATGCGTATAAGAGTGTCTTTTCTATCTTTCTTACCTTGTCTTATAATTGTAAATGTAACTGTATCATCAACAAATTTTAATTTTTCTAAATATTTAAAATTAAGCCTTTCACCACGACGAAAGTATATTGTACCATCATCGGCAATCGGCACATTATCAATAGCTGTGATAACATCATCTTGTTGCAATATTTTACTAAGAACACATGCTTTTTCAACCGATGTTACTAAGATACCATGTTGGTCATCATTCAATTTTAAATATTCGCGATATGATGTATTTTCCATTGGTTGGTAGTAAAACCTCATTATTGGAAATGCTGTATATTTATTATGCAGTTCAATATCATCTAATACATGTTTGATTACTAGTACAGGTATAATGTAGCCAATAGATTGAGCTTGAGTTTGGCCTTGAAATGACATACCAACAACATGTTTACCTAAACAAGAAATTCAAAAACACAATTAAAAACATTTTTCATAATGAACGGTTAGAATCTTGATTGATGGACACAATTCTTTAAGGCTAAAAAAGAACATCATATTTACGTTTGATTTTATGTCCAACAAACAACTGAATGAAATCTGGAGAAAACAGAACTTCA